GAAGTAATCATCCCCCTATGGAATGGCCTTGAATGATGATACAGAAAAGAGTCCATAATTTAAACACTTCAGTGTGTCTAAACTACGATATCTCCTCATTTGCTAAGATAAAATTTCTTTACATAGCTATATTATAACCCTGAACTCTAATTAGCAGTGGGAAAATGAGATTACAACAGTAAACATGGCAATTTGGTTGACATAGTAAACAACCCTGCTGCACATAATCAATTTAGGTTCCTGGCAATGTTGAATGGGAAGTCAAAATGTTTTTTGGCTCTTACCCTGTCTTATGTTTGTAATAGTTCTGCATTCATGAAAACATATGCATTTATAAAAACACTTCTTGTAGTTATAATTTAGATTTGCAGATGATACTACATGTGATTTGGATCTAAGAAGAGATAAATATTCCAGTCTGAAAAGCAGAAAACCATTAAAATCCTAAAATCATTTCATCTAAATTTCTTACATTAGCATATTACCTAAGGAAGTTTTATGTCAATATAAAATCATGGTTCCATCATTTTAAGAGGTTAAATGTAGCAAATAAACTTCTTCTTCCATAAAGTAAATCTTGAGTATGTTGGATTCATACACGTACTAATGGCCTTTCTTGTCTAACATTATTTTCTGTAGTACTTTTCATCGTTTCTGATTCCCCCAAAGACACAAAATTATTCTTCTGTTCTGACCACTTCAAGTTTTCTTACTATTTTTGTTTCATCTCTTTTTTTTCTTTTTCTTTCTTTCTTTCTTTTTTTTTTTTTTTACAGCTGGCTGCTTTCTTGTATTACACATTTGTCCTACTCTCCGAACTGAATTGCTCTCTCATAAAGCTAGGTCTTTACTCCCTGGAATTCTATACAGCAAGAACAGAATACTGGTAATATAGGTAGCAAAAACAAAGCATTTATTTTCCCTGGAGTATAATAATAATAATTCCATACAACCTATATAATACCAAAATTTTATTTCTTTTCTCTTTCTTTCTCCAGAAAAAGCAATATAAATATTTAGTGTCAAACAGCTATATTTGTTAGGATGTCTTGCATATCATATTTCCTAAAATTAATGAAGTCACAATCATACTTGAAAACATTAATAGTTGTGGAAGCAAAATTAATTTTGGACAGGTCCATTGATTAATAAATTATGCTGTAGCTAGGAGCCCCCAGGAAACTGATTTGCTAAGCAATATACTCCATGCATTTTCCAACCTGCATACCTCATCTTTCAACTCTGTATTTTAAATAGGTAATAGTAAATGCTCATGATCTTTTGAGTCCTCTTCCAAAAGTATTGCTATTGGGTTATAACTAAGTAATTGAATTTGATTTGTATCTACATTAGTTAATTAACCTTATTATTTTCCAGAACAGTCAAGCTCATGTTAGACCCTGGAAGACCAAACAACATTTTGTAATAATCATTACCACTAAACTAGCATCATTAAAAAACAACCATTAGTAGCCCTTCAAATTTGTGAATATCACCTACCAAACCACAAATCAAATTAACATGCTCTTCATTTATTTTTTATTAGCTGTTAACATTAGGCAGAATTCCGTGTTGAAAGTCAAGATTAGCTGGCATGGGCTTAGTATTTGTCATTGTTTGAGTTTATACAAAAGCACGTGCTAATTGTTAATTATATCGATTAACGTGTTTTGCATTATAATTTTAAAATGTCTTGCCGAGAATACACTTTATTTAAGACTACAAGCACCACTTATCACTTATCAGTATCTTTCTCAGATACAGATTTTGATCTTAAAAAAGGTCAAGTTGAAATAATTCAACTCATTTATATAAAAATGTGAATGAATAGGCAAAGATATGCTTAATTATAAATTTAAATGACTTCTACAAAAATAAGATCAGGAATAAATAAGATTAGGAATCTATCTTGCTCTTGAAACCGAAGAATCAATAAAGCTGACTGTCTGTTGATCTCCATTCCTGATTACATTGGACCCAAGGTAGAAATATCTACCTTCCTTAATGGCTTTTTAAAATAGGTAAGCTTTAAATCCAGGCTTTTCCAAGCATCTCTTTATGGTCCTCTGGAAAGAATCATAAATTCTGGCTTTGTGTACAACATTAAACAAAACAAACAAAAAAAAGATTTTAATAGTTAATAAAGTTCACTGGCATCAACAGTCCTCTCTATATATTATAGGTTTTTAAGAAAGTCACCTCTCAAGATTAACTATGTAACTGGATGAGACATAAATTCATTTTTCAAGAAAAACTGGGTTGAAGTCCACATGGTTCAGCTTCACTGCCTGATGACAAACTCTGTCGCTTGGGTCTGACTGTGGGGACCTGGCATTAGAAACAACTTCCAGAGGAAGAATGATCCATGAAGAAGAAGGAGGAGGAGAAGAAGAAGAAAAACAAGGGATCTTTGATAATATCATGTTTTTCTAGAAACATTATGTTGTAATCCTCGGTGCCTAGCTGAAGGCTACGTCCCAGTCACCTACACAAATTTATTTAAGCAGCAGATGTAGTAAGCATCTACAAAGCTTGTCAGCACTCTATAAGGTCAGGATGAAGACTCTTTAAAATTAAAATTCTAGAAAAAAGAAAAAAATGGAGGGCTATAATTTTATTCCACTGATAAATAAAATGTTTGACATCTCTAAAATTTCATATTTCAACTTAGTCAATAAAATACAGTAAGAGTTTTATTAAACTAGTAACTAGTGATTGATCTAGAATACTCCTAAGAACACACACATACACACAGATGGCATGCCAATAATTCTACCCATTCTTACCAATCTTCACAAGATATTTAAATTTCTGAAGCTGGAATTTGGCAATATTCCTTCCTTAGCAAGAATTAAATCAATTTAATGGCATAGGGTGAATGTTTTAAATGGAGCTTGGCAGAATAAATTATTCCATCAAATCACTGTCAGTCTTTTTTTTCCTTCTTCTTCCTCTTCTACACTGTGTCCAAAAAAAGGTTATTTATTTAGTTTGGTAATGTCCTGGACAGCAGAATAGATAAGGAAAGACTGCCTCTCAAATAAACAAGTACAGAGCCATTATTCTTAACAAAAAGCAAGACCAAATTTTCAGGAGAAAACATCCTAAATAAAATGAATACACAAACAAGACAAAACACCCATTTGGTCATATTTTAGTGCTACCCTTGTGAGTTCATTTAATAATATTCAATACTCCTTTAGTAACATGCAATATACTTTTACATGGATTACAAGTGCTATCTAATACAACAGGGTTTAATAACTGAAAGGATTAGAAAATATAATGAGAAAGAATTCCTAACAAAGGAATAAAGTTTATGAGCTAACATGGGCAGGCTCCCATTCAATGCAAGGCCTCTGGGAAAATCCTTCCTTAAGTATGCAGGATATTCATTTGCTTTTATATTATTATCTTTCAGTAAAATACATGTCCAACAAAACACACTTCAACACGTGGAACATTAACAATATAAGAACCAACATAAAATAGATATTCATCCAAAGTTACCCCCCACACATCTAAAGGTGGATATTATAATCTCTGCTTTGCTTGATTTCATCATGATATCACACTCAGTAATTGTTCATCTCTATAACACAACATCAAAGAGAGGTAAAGAGGAAGGCCTCTGTAGGAAAATCTCTTCCCTCTGCCCATTTCCCCCCCGGCCCCCTCCACCCTCCACGTTCAGCAGGAGAAATTTCATTTTGCAGTCAAATGCTCTACCACTGAGCTATACCCCCAGGAGAAATTTCATTTTGGAGAGAATGTACTTGGCATTTGACATATCACATAACATTTACTCAAGAGTTAACCATTTTTAGAACAAACTGTGCTATATGTACTTTTTTCTTTCCTGGAAATTCTTAAGTTGCCAGTGATTCGACCAACATAATCATTCATTTGAATGTCCTTTGCTGTACTACAGATATCATAAATAATTTCCTTCCTCCCTTCCTTCCTTCCTTCCTTCCTTCCTTCCTTCCTTCCTTCCTTCCTTCTTCTCCCTCCTTCCTTCCTTCCAGTTTGGACACTGCTCGTTGAGTCAGCTTTCTGGTTTGCATTTGGTGAGGGTAATGCCCCCTCCCAGACAAGGAAGAAGGAATAGCTCTGAATAGCAGCTGTCATGGTAGAATCATTGCACAACCAGGCACTTGGTGTTACAACATTGGCAAGTGTCACTGTAAAGTGTCAATAGGAAGAGTAAATTGTTCCAGTTCTTTTCTTTGACCTGTTCCCTGTCAACTAGGATGCTTGGACAGAATCTTATTCTCTCCCCGTTACTGTATCAGTAGGGTAAAAGGGTTTACTTAACCACGGAAAATAAAAATAGACTAGATCTCCATAACAACTATATGACTTTTCCCACATTGGCATAAGACTAAAAAAAGCAGGACTGGTCATCAAGTCATAATTAAGCATTAGCATGTAAGCAGAAACATTATCTTAGATTGTCACAAAAACACAGCATCAGATAAAAGCAGCAAAAAAATGTTCCAACCAGCCTTGGTAACCAGGAAATTCTTTTCAAAGGTGTTTCCTTTTTGAGCTTTCCCAATTTGTACTCAGTAATAAAGTTGGGGACCTAATGTGATGTTCTAAATGTTCGCTTTCGATAAATAAATAAATAAATAAATAAATAAATAAATAAATAAATATTCCCTTTCTGTGTATATATTATGTGATTCAAAATAGAATATAAATTTTCCAACCCATCATAAGCAGTTTGATAAATTGTGTCACAGAACTCATTTTATCATAATTCCTATAATGTACTTAAAATACGCAAAAGCACGGAAGTTAAAAATAAAACCAAATTAAGATCTCCGTATGGAGCATATTGGTAAGTGTGGCACAGCAGGGATAGTTTTAAAGTGGTCTTGTATAGCAAATATTCCATTCTTTGTGTACCATTTAGTTTAAAAAAAAAAATCGCACCCACTCTCCCATCCACCAAGGCACTCGACCCCACATGTATGTATAAAAAGAGAACTTACACAATTTCATCGTTCTGGAATTCGAGCTCTCCACAAGTGTCCTCAAAGTCCTCCCCTCCACCTCTGGCAGTCCCTTCGATGGTTTTATAGGGAACGATAACATTTCCTCGAGCTCCAGATGTTCTCAGTACCTTCACCTCCATAATGCCAATGCTCTCACTCACGTGAGTCACGGGCTCCTCAAAGGTAAAGATGCCTGCGTGGTCATCATCAAAAATGGTCACAGTGGCGGTGGAAGGAGATCCGAGGCAAGCGAGTGTAGAAACATGATTTGCTTCCAGGATGCCATCTTCTGAGGCTTCCAAAGATACTTTAACATTGCTCAAATGCACCAGGAAATTTTCATCCTCCTCAAAGATATCGTCATCGATGATGCCAACTCTGATTTCCTTCTGGGTCTCACCAGGCTTGAAGACCACAGTTCCTTCGGTAAATTCATAATCAGACCCAGCATTGGCTGTGCCATCCTCTGTTCTGAAGTCAACAAACACAGTGTTAGTCAAATCACCACCTCTGCGGATAATGGTCAGGGCGACGGTACCACAGTTCTCCAGACACTGATAGGTTCCTTGTTCAAAGAAGATCTTACTCACAGGGTCATTTTCAGCCACTTCAGTGTTGACCTCATGCATGCTGACAGCCTTCCTCGCCTGGTCGGCTGCATGCCTCTTTAAAATGTTGCCAGCTCCAGTCATCAGGCGAGTAGCTTGGATGCGGTAAAATGCTCGACTTTTTTGCTGCTGACTTAGGACTTGGTAGTTAGCTAGTTCTATTAATTGCTCGATTTCTTTCTCTGGATGCTTCTGCTTGAGCTCCTTCAGAATCCGAGCCATTTCTCGCCTAGCCTCTTCATCATCTTGGTCCCTCTCATCGACCTCCAGAACCAGAGCACCATCTAAGAAATTGTCAACATGGGAATTGACCACTTTCCCATCCATTTCAATTTCGGTCTTGGAAGATGGCCTATCTCCTTCATGCTCGATAATCATTCCCCTCTGCTTGCCAGCCCGATACCTCTTGTAGACATATTTGTAAAACAGAAGCCTCCTATCTGCTACCCAAGCGAACACGACGCAGATGGGAAAGAAGAAGAAGGTAAGCAAACCTTCCCAGACCTCCACGACCCCAGGAGAGATGACAGACAAAATAATGTAAAGCCAGGTATAGGCAAAGATGCTCCAGGCTGCCGTCACAAAGAACACACGCAAATGCTTAATCTTCCTCGTCTCTCCGTCTGGGACCACGTAAACACAAAGTGCGATAATGATGAACATATTGAATGCAGCACTTCCCACAATGGTGCTAGGACCCAAGTCTCCTGCAGTGAAGTTATGGCCACACACTTCAATTACTGAAAGGAGAATCTCTGGAGCAGAAGATCCCAAGGCCATCAAGGTCAGGTTGGAAACGGTCTCATTCCAGATCCTCACAGTGGTCTTGGTGGTCTCTCCATTGGGTTTCTTTATGGTTATTTCTTTTTCTTGAGATGTGATGACTTCTATAGAGGACATGAACCGGTCGGCAATGATAGAGACTCCGAGAAACATGTAGACCATGGCCACAAAATACACAGTAGCTCTAGCAATTTTGTCTCCAAAGGAAGGGTCTTGGGGCTCCCAAATGGGTAAAATCACCCCTTTCTTACAGTAATACGAGCCAGTACACTCGCCGGTTTCATTGCCTTCTCCTTCCATTTCTGTCTCAGCACTTACAAGGTCCACGTGGGAAAATAAGAGAGCCACAATGGCTAACAGATGACATCCCAATGAAAAGGTAGGTGAGAGTCTTAACGGCAGCATGTTGTACAATGGTAGACTTCCAAGTGTCCCAACCTACTGGTAAAAATAAGATGGAGGGAGGGTGGGGAAAAAAAAAATCACATCATCAGAGCCAGATCCAAAACATGACCAATTACTGATTTTTATTGCTTTTACAAATGATTTGTTTATATTTGACTACCATCACACCTGTAGTGAATCATTAGTCTAAGTATCCATCAGTGATTAAGCAATCCTTTGTACCATTTATAACTCAATGTCTCCACGTATGGATTTTCTACCTGTAGTCTCCATTCACTGAGCAATGTACACAATTGACTTATTGGAAATGAAAAGTTCAATTATAGCCTTGCCCTGTTGAATACATAGTTATGCATGCTAAGAGCCAATAAGGGGGGGGGGGGACCTTTTGATGCATTAAATAATTTTCTCCTTGTTGCTAATGCAGATTTTCTTTTAAATTTTGGTTAGTACAATCACCTTCCAGAAACTGTTTCATTACCAAAATCACCTTATTAAGATTGATGCTTTAAAGTTCAGACTCTAAAAACCAGCACAAGGCCTCCTGATGATCTTAAATTCTGGAGCAGACCTTATACCTCATTTTTTGAAATCATGTCCTATTGCTCCAAACTTACTTGGAAACACAGAGATATCTTCAAGGTTTCCTACAAAGTCAATGGTAGTTGTACTTGAGGGGGAAAAAAATCTTCTGTAATGCAATCTTTCCACACACTAAATACAGTTTTTAAAAGCATATATTTTTTAAAGATTTTATTTATTTATTTGACAGAGAGAGAGAGAGAACAAGTAGGCAGAGAGGCAGGCAGAGGGAGAGGGAGAAGCAGGCTCCCCGCTGAGCAGGGAGCCTGATGCGGGGCTCAATCCCAGGACCCTGGGATCATGACCTGAGCCAAAGGCAGCCACTTAACCGGCCGAGCCACCCAGGCGCCCCTAAAAGTATATTTTGATGAGAGCACATTTCCTCCTAATTTTCAGCAAGCCCAGTGCTCCTGATATGTTAGCAGCCGGGCATCTGGATCCTGAAGCACAGCTCCTCACATCTGGGGACAGATCTCGCTTTAAATCTGCAGGCTGTCCACAGCAGGAAAGGGAGATAAATAGGCCTGGGTCTAGTTGTGTGTTAGGACTCCTGTCTGGCAGGCTGTGAAATCAGCTTTACCAGCCATAAAATGTTCCTTCTCAGTGTTGATGTCATCCTTTCCATGGTCATTCTAAAACACATATTAGTTCTACAGAGGGTTCAAGAGACCAAAAAATACAGGAGCAATAATTCCATCTAAATTAGTTCATGTGGCAGAACAGCAGTGACCACAAAGTATACATATGATGAAGGGCTGGAGGCAATTGGAAATAGAGCAACAGAATCACTGAGCCGCACAAAGCTTGGTAAACAAAGCCAAGTGGCGGACTGAAAAACCATGGTCTGAATTCACCCACCAGCTCAGGCAAAACGCCACCCTGCCCATACATCACTTCTGCCTCTAAGGCTTGAAAGGTGCTGACAGAGAGGAGGGTCTGCTCCAAGTCAGGGAAGCAGTTCGGAAGGCCAGTTCAGACATCAGATAAAGTGGTGGCAAGAAGGGAGTCCTAAGTCAGAACGTAGCCTTGTGGCCTGATAAAAAGTTCATAGTGGAGCTAGACTGGAGCCTTCCATAGCCTGGGGTGGTCCGAGAGCCACCCACACACTCACCTATGTTCGCTGCTCATGGCATGCAGTGGAAATTCACCAGGGCCCGGGAGGAAGCCCCTGGCCCAGCACATTCTGGCAGACCCTCAAAGAGCCCACCATTTGCCTAAAGCCCCTTTTAGCTCATCACTATGAGTAGATGAGCTTTGACATTTTTCCCAGATGAACACACAGCAGAGGGCTGAGATGGCACAATTACATTCTGCATAAAAGGCTGAAAAATAGAAAAAGCGTATTTCCAAAATATGCAAGCTTCATGGTCAGTGAGTCTACTTATTCAGTCACTACAGGACTTGGGTGGGATCACCACCTAAAACAAGGAGACACTGAGGCAACCTACAAGAGTAGTGGAAGGTCTAGCTCTAAATCCATCATGCAGCCATTTATTCCATAACTATTTATGAGTGCCGCCTAACTATGTGTTTTAGAATCACTTGCTAGGCTCTCTTCTAGGTCCTAAGAGTTCATCAGAGAATTAAAAAACAAAAAACCAAAAAAACACAAAGTCTCTGTCCTTGCAGACCTTATATTCTATCGGGGAGGAAACAAACAAATGAATATAAATGTCAGATGCTAAAAAGTGCTGGAGGGGTAGGGGCGGAAGCAATGTTAATTAGGACAGGGAGTCTGCCTGCATGAGTGTGTGTGTGAGTGTGTGTGTGTGTGGACACACATGGCATGCAGGATTTTATACTGGATGGTTAAGGAAGGCCTCTCTGATAAGGCGACATTGGAGCAAAATCCTGAAGGAAGGAAGAGACCAAGCCTCGTGGATATCTACAGGAAGAGAATTCCAAGCAAATGCCAAGACCCTGTGGGACTTGTCTTTGCATCGTCTAGGAAACACAGAGGAACCAGTGTGATGAGAGGGCCATGAGCCAGGGGAACAGGGCTCCGGAGCTGGGAACACACTGGGGATGGGTTATGAGGGGCCTGGAGGCTACCACAAGGCACTGGCTTCAATTGTGAAAGAGATGGGACTCACTAGGAGGTTCTGGTCAGAAGTGTGGTATCAGCTAATTTTCCTATTAAATACAGCTTTCTGCTGGTTCCGTAAAGAATAGAGTATAGGGGCATCTGCCTTCGGCTCGGGTCATGGTCCCAGGGTCCTGGGATCAAGCCCCGCATCGGGCTCCCTGCTCCGCGGGAAGCCTGCTTCTCCCTCTCCCGCTCCCCCTGCTTGTGTTCCCTCTCTCGCTGTGTCTCTCTGTCATATAAATAAATAAAATCTTTAAAAAAAAAAAAAAGAATAGAGTATAGGGGTAAGAGAGGAAACAAGAAGACCTGTTTTTGCCTTTTATAAAAAAATCTGAATTATAAATGATCCCAATGCCTGGCAGGTATAAAAAATGATACAGTAGAGATCTCAAATTTAGAAAAGGAGAAAGAAACAATTTGTAGTGACCCTTTGGAAGATTTACAACTTCAAATGTCTTGGGAACCTGTGAGAATCAGAAAGGTTAAGTATTTGCTCTCAGAGAGTAGTATGGAAAAGAGAGAGTAAACATAGAACAGAGATTCCAACCTATGCCTGTCTCTAGGACTGATATAATCAACCACTTCCTTCAAATTCCTGCCAAATCTCATCATTCCATTTTCACATTTCAGCCAAAATGAGCTTCCTGAAGTACAGATCTGACTCTCTTACTCCCCCTTAAAGCTTTTCATGGGTTGCCTCTTGCCCTAAAAACAAGCCCAATCCCCTCAATAAGCTGTTCAGACCTTTTAGGATCTAGCTTCTGAGTTCTAGAATATGGAAATTCTTTCCATTCACCAAATCTCTGAAGGTGAATCAGAATCTGGGAGCTGGGACTAGGCATTTGCATTTAAAAATGTGCTTGCATGAAGCAGACGCCCCTAAAATGAGCAGATGCCGCTGAAAAGCCAATGGCAGTACTAAGTGGAGGAGAGGAAATGTGACTCAGGCTCATGGGCAGAGAACCTCAGGCTGGAAAAACTGACCTCCAGCATAGAGGAGATGGGGCGCTGACATTTCCCCCCACAACCTGGGGGCGGGTCCTCCTCCATGAGCCCTAGCTTGCTGATTTCTTTTGGAATGCCAAGTTCATCTGCTCTGCTGAGAGGGTCCTGATATTTCGGACATCCTCAGCAAAGCATATCTTCTCCTTCCAGTGCAATAAGAAGACATCTGGTCAAGCACCAACCAAAAACGAGCTCCATTATAGAAGCCTCATAAAAGGGAAAGTGCATCACGAATTTAAATATATCCACTCTGCATACCGGCATGGAAATAGGAGTAAGAGAAAGAAAGCTGGGGACTAAAGAGAGTCTTTCAATACTAAATAAATAAAGAGGAATTCAAAGGGAAGCTGCTCTGCTAATCTTGGGCCAGGACTGTCCTCAGATTCATTTTGCCAGTGCCAAGGACAGAGTAAGGGCCCCACTTACTGTCATAAATTGGCATTTATGACAATAATGACTGAAACCATTGACTGAGCACTTGCTTTGTCCCGGGTGCTTCACTGACTGCTTTGCATTCACTGTCCCTGACCTTTCTAACAATACCGGAAGGAGGTATTATCGTTCTCATTTTAGAAATGAGAAAAATAAATGGTTCATAAAAGTAAACTGACTAACGTCGTACAAACAGAAGGGAACTAGGATTTTGATCCAGGCGCTTCGCATTAGTTATGCCATCGTGCTTTCCAAAATGGCAGCATCTTTTTGTTTGTTTTTGCTACCTAGGTGAACAATACTGTTCTCTGGTAGCAGAGAGCTCCCTATTTAGATACTTAGTGCAGAATAACCTTTCCATGCTGCCCTGCTTTGCCCCTGAATAAATGTATGTAGTTTGCACTACCTTCTCAAGAGCCTTCATGTTTGCCTCTCCTGTCTCATGCCTCCCCACCCGCTGAGTAAGGGTTTTGTAAACACTCCTATTCATCACGTAGCAAGGGAAAGATGATCCATTTGGGGGATCATCAGCTAAAATCTGAGGTCTGAAATCACTCCAAAGTCATGTAATAATCTCAAGGTTTTTCCATTTGGTCAGGAGAAAAGAAAAGAGAGAAAGGAATCCTAGCAGTGGGCAAGCAAAACTAAAATAAAAGATGGGTGGAGTTGGGGAGAATGATCCTGAATTTTAGCATAACAAGTGAATACTTCGCTCTAATAGCAATAAGTCAGTATTTTTTTTTTTTTCAAGAATTTCAACAGAGCTCACAAATCTACTGTCTTGGGGTCAAGACTTTTTTTTTTTTTAATTTTAAACCAGTAAGTAATTCAAAGTGACAGGAAAACAACACATTCATTCATGGTTTTGTCTGCCAAGCTTTCTTAGCCACTCACATATGCCAGATACTGGGTTAAAAAGATGAATAAG